GTTTCGTGCCATCGTTTTTCCTGATGTTTGTTTGTTTTGAGTCGAACTAACGCGTTTAATCTGTTCCATTCTGTTTTAACGAGTGGATCGCGGGTTCTAGTAAATTGCCTATACAATGCGCGCTTTCTTTTAATTAAATCGATTATCTCACGCGGGAGAGGTTTTCGGCCTATACAGATTACTTTGACTGGTGCAGTTTCGTGTATCGCGTTTTGTACACAAGTGTTGTACGTTTCTATCGCGGTGTCGATTTCTTCTCGAGTGTTTAGTGTCGGTGGGAGGAGGTTAGATTTGCTGATGTGTTCGCGAAGGTTGTCGAAATTAATGTTCTTGTAGTCGCGTATTTCATTAAACGAGTTAAATGTAATTTTACATGATCGGATATTAAGTGTGGCGGACAGTGGTACGTGGTCGCTAGTTATTGGAGTACCTATCGCACATTCATCGGAGAAAAGTGGCGCGACTCTGTCCGTACAGAGTATATGGTCTGGAATGGACGAGCCTTGATGGCTTAAAAAGGTGAAATTTGTGTTTCTAATACGGAATAAATTGTGTGTGAGAAGCGCGTTGGCGAGTATTCGCCCGTTGGCGTTTGTACTAGTATCTCCGAATGTAGTGTGTCGCGCGTTAAAATCTCCTAGAACTATGGCTCTAGGAATGGTTGATATGTAGGATAAGAACTCGGCTGGTAGCCTGGTAGAGGGTTTGTTATAAAATGAAAAGATAATAATCTCTCCGGAGTGAAGGTGCAGCGTAGCTGCGCAGCAGTCGAGTTCTTGGAATTGTGGTGGTAGGAAAAATCGGTTAGATGCGATGGAATTGTGTATGATTAGGGCCGTCCCTTTTCTGTGGAGTAGTTTGTCGTTTCGGTAAATGTTGTACTGTGCTATGTATTGCCGTTCTTTGCGTGTAGATAGTGTTTCTTGTAATGCGAGAATGTGTATTGAATCGTTATTTACTGTGTGTATTATGTTGTTCTTTTTTCTCTTCCATCCGTTTGTGTTAACTGTACAAATTTTAAGGTCCGCGAATGTAAATTAACGGGGAAGATGAGNTGACTTAGAAAGTACAGCGTCATCATCAGTATCAGTGAAAAAATCAAAACTTAATCAACTAACTATGGATTCATGTGTTAATAATATTAAAGCATTCAATGGTAAGATTTTTTGTTATCTACCTAATAAATTACTTACTTAGTTGATTTGGGTCATTGTGTATTTATGGTCGGTGATAATGTATATCTTCAATTTTTTTTTTTTCAGTAAACGGGCAGAAGTATGGACAACTAAGTAATGCTATCATGTTCATGATTTGCAAGGATACATTACCATTAAATACAGTTGAAAAAGAAGGTTTCACATATTTGATGAAAGCAGCAGTGCCTTTATATAAACTTCCTTCACGGCAGACAACTACGCAAATGATAGATGACAAATATGATGTTCTTTCTTTGCAATTCAGAGAAAAGCTTTTAGAAGTAGAGTCAATATGTTTAACTACCGACATCTGGACTGATACACATAATACTAGAAGCTACATGGGTTTAACTGGACATTTTATATATGAAAGTGAACTAATCAGTATAAATTTTGGTGTGTCCTATTTAACTGAGCCCCATAATGCCGATTATTTATGTCAAGTATTAAAAACAATGACTGAAAAGTGGGGTATAGCTTCAGAAAAAGTTGCAGCAGTTGTTACTGATAATGGTGCGAATATCGTCAAGGCCGTAACAATTGCATTTGGCAAACAAAAACACTTATGGTGTTTTGCCCACACTTTGAATTTAGCAGCTCAAAAACCTTTTGAAGAAAAAGGTGGTATTGAAAGTGCCAGACAGTTACTGAATATTGTAAAGGATATAACTAGATACTGTAAACAAAATGTAAATGTTGCTGATGCTCTTCGTAAAGCGCAAAATGATGTAACAGTACCACTTAAATTAATTCAGTCAGTTTGCACACGATGGAATTCAATTTACTATCAGCTAGTTCGGTTTGTAAGGTTATCGGAGCTACTTGCCTCGATATTACTCAATTACCCAAAAGCTCCACCTATGTTAACAGCCAGTCAATTAGATGGTATCAAAGATCTTATAAAAATTTTAAAACCTATGGAAGCTGTGACAAAAGAAGTATCCGTAGAGAAATTTGTAACGTCAAGCAAAATTATACCAATAGTTTCCTGTCTTTTGAAAACATATAGTACAATGAAGACAGAAACAGATGTTGGCGCTGTAACCAAAAATTTAATATTGGAAGAATTAAAGAAGAGATTTGGTACAGTGGAACAAGTGCATATGTTAGCTATCACCACACTACTGGATCCAAGATTCAAGAAAATTCATTTTTCTGACAGAATAGCATGCTCCAAAGCTATTGATAAAATTAATAGTATGATTGTAGCTTCAAAAAAACAATTGGAGAATAAATTAAGTAATGAAGATCCAGGAAATAATTTTGAATGCCAGCTAGAGAAAGCAGAAGAATCGAACATTTGGGAATTTCATAACATATTAGTAAAAAATCAGCTACAATTATTTCAAGCAGAAAGTGAAGGACAGGGTTTACAAGACGAATTGAAACATTATTTAACCCAGCCTGTCGTCGACTTTAAAACGACGGCTCCTATTACATATTGGTATCACCAAAGAAATTCCTTGTACAGCACAATAACGCCGATTGCTAACAAATACTTCTGTATAGTTGGAACATCTGTTCCATGTGAAAGGCTTTTTTCTATTGCGGGAAATATTGCGACTGACGAAAGGAGTCGTTTAGATCCTGAGCGATTAGATAAGTTAATTTTTTTAAAGTCACTCGACTTAAAATACTGGGAAATGTAATTGCTCGTTAAATTTGTATTTAACTTTAATAAAATATTATAAACTTAAAATTTAATTTATTTATTGACTGACTTACTTATATAAGACTAGAATTTTAAACTGCCACATTAGTTTAGTGGTTGCAAGTCAAGTACTACTGCTGTTGAGCGAAAAATCGTGGGTTCGATCCCCAGCCTCTACCCATTCTTTCGGAGGAATTTATCCGTGATGTTATGTTTGTTAATTTAATAACTTCTATCGAATTACTTGTATTTGCGATAAATGGTCATCAATAATGTCCTGTATCTATATAAGGCGTGTTTGAAATTGGCGCGATTAATCGAAAATCGATCTTTTAATGCTCGATTTAAACAAGAATCGATTCTAGCATGCTCGATTCGAATCGAATCGGAGATCGATTTTTTTTAAAGAGAATCGACATGCCTATTCACCCGTCGACCGCCACCAGCCGAAACCAAGCCTCCTCCACCACCACCAGTATGTATAGTAACAAGGCATCGATCGCGCGGACCAATGAGAGCACGCTGCCGCTGCTCGGTGGAGGGAGTAGGC